TTTTAATGTAAATGCTCAAATTCTCATGCTTCCCACTGTGGGGTGGACTTAATGCATTTAACCCTCTCCTCAAGAGTGAGCAACACTGACTGATTGCTTCCCAGACTAATGGTGATGAAATATGGAACAGGGAGGGGTGTAATTGGTTGGTTTTTTTTTTTAACTCTTTACACTTCTTTTGCTCTTTTGGAGGCCTGCCACCCAACTCAGGGCAGTGGGGGGCGGGGGAGGACAACAAAAACATATTCACTTCTGGTCTGTAGAGGTGACTCAGTGGTTATAGTTCTTGCTGTGCAATTGTGTTGACCTGAATTTTGATCTCCAGAATACATACAGTGCTGTGCTTAGTAGCAATTTGGGAGGATTTATCCCTCCCAAATAAATCATACGTAGGCTTATCCTTTCTTGTGAATGTCAGGCCTTAGCTTGGCTTGTTTCTTGCCAGCTTTTCTTACCTTAACTATCCCATCTACCTTTTGCCTCTGGGATTTTATCTTTCTCTATTATATATACCTTTCTTTACTTCTTACTCTGTGGCTGGCTGTGTAGCTGAGTGACTGGCCCCGGTTGTGCTCCTCTCCTTCCTTTCTTGCTCCATCTTTTCCTCCCAGATTTCTCCTCCTATTTATTCTCTCTGCCTGCCAGCCCCACCTATCCTTTCTCCTGCCTTCCTATTGGCCATAAGCTCTTTATTAGACCCGGCAGGTGTTTTAGACCAGCAAAGCAACACAACTTTGCAGAGTTAAACAAATGCAACGTAAAAGAATGCAACACAACTGTGCATCATTAAAGAAATGTTCCACAGCATAAACGAATGTAACACATTTTTAACTAATATTCTACAACCGAGGGGGTGCTGTAACAGCAGTTTCACCTTAGCCAAATGATCAAGGCTGGTGCTACTGTGATGCTAATATCATGTACTCCTTGGTGAGATACAGGGAGAAGGGCATCTCAGCTCTGTATTACCCTTCCCCAAAAGCAACACTCCCAGTATAATCCTGAGAAAACACCAGATAAACATTAAAGCAGAGATACTTCTACAAAATAGCCGGCCAGTACTTTATAACAATAAACATTGTGGAACACAAGAAAAGATCAAGAAGCTTTCAGAGGTAGGGGTATGAAGAGACATGACAGCTAAATCTCATGGTGTGAGCTGAACTGCTCTGAAGAAACCACATCTGCATTGAATACCTGAAGACTGGCTGCCTAGGACTTCCTGCTTTTAGAGAGTCAGAATGCTACAGATCTAGAGCCAAAATTTTCCTAAGCTATCGTTACTCCTTGTGATAAAAAAAAAAAAACTTATTACCAATCTTAATATCTGTCTCAACATGTTTGTGATTATAAGGGAAAACTTGTAGAAAAGTGTTATCAGACTCCTAGCTCCCACCAGCCTTAATGTTAACAATGTTATAAGCTAATATCTGAAATCTTACTAAAGAAATTTCTCCCCTCTTCTCTAACTTTAAATGTGTTGATGGTGGCTGGGGAGAGATCACAGTTAGTAAAGAGCTTGCTGTAGAAACATAAGAACCTGTATCTGATCCATAGCACTCACAGAAAAGCTGGGAGCAGTCATGCACACCTGCAATCCCAGTTCTGGGCAGACAGAGACAGAAGGATCCCTGGGGCTTGCTGACCAGCCAGTCCAGCCCATCATCAGTGAGCACTAGGTTCCCTGAAAGACTCTGATTGAAAAATAAGATCAGGAAGGTCTGGAGAGAAGACTCAGGGGTTAACAGAGTGCACTACTCTTCCAGAAGACCCAAATTCAGTTCTAGTACCAATACTGGGAGACTGCCTATAACGCCAGCTTCAGGAGGAACCAATGCTTCTGACCTCAGAGGGCATTTGCAATCATGTGCACAAGCACACACATGTGCACACAGTTAAAAATAAATAAAACAAAAATTTTTAGATGTTGAAAATGAATAAGGAAGGTACCTGATATTGACCCCTGATTTCCACAAGTACCCACACGTGTGCAGCACATAGGCACATGAATAAGTAAAGATGTAAATGTGAGCGCTTATGACTTTCTTTTATTCTGCTACTACGAAAGTTCATCTCTTCCACAGTGGAACATATCATTTACAGAAAACCTAAATCCATGTTCCTAGGCCGTGGCAACTCATATTTGTCTCAGAACAAACATCCCTAAATCTCATCTGAACAAGAGCTGTATTTCATCATGTCAACGGTGGCAGTCTTGGTTGAATCCTGGAACAAAAACAAAAGAATGTCTGTAGGGAAACTGGTGAAATGCACATAAGATGTACCTTTTGGTTAGCAGTAATGGGCCAATGTTAGTTTCCTGGTTTTGATCATTAGGCTCTATTTATGTGAAGTATTCCTCCTGTTCAGAGATGCTGGAGCAAAGGTTATTCAGAAATTCATACTATATTGACAACTTTTCTTAATCCAAATTATTTTTAAAATACATAAATAAGTAATGATCAAATTTTAAAATATTATATTTCTATGCTTTTAAAATAATATACATTTAAAATAATATCAGTGTTAAATATAATTGCTCAATTTCAGTGGTTTCGATCAACTGGCTTAATCTACGGGTGGGTAGAAATAACATCATTTCTCATTTTATTTTGTATATTCCTTTTTATGTTAATCAACTTTCCACTAATGTAGCAAATGCCTAAGACAATCCACTCATAAAAAGAAAAGGTTTATTTTGGCTCACAGTTTGGGAGGTTCAATTCATGTTTGACCCATTGCTTTTGGACCTAGATGAAAGCAATACATCATGGAAGTAGCCTTAGACAGAGCAAAGCCATTCACTTCATAATCAAGACTCTCAAATTGGACAAAAAGGTAGAAATTGTGTGTCCTAAAATCCCCTTCAAGGGCATGTGCCCTGTTCTAGCTACTTTCCTGTTGCTAGGGTAAATACCATGACCAAAAGCAACTTGGGGAAGAAAGGGTTTATTTCAGCTTACAAGTTATAAGTTCATTATCAAGGGAAGCCAAGGACAGGAGCTCAAGGCAGGAACTGAAGCAGGGGCCCTGGAACACTGCTTCCTGGCTTGCTCTCCCTTCCAGATGTCTTTGTTATACAGCCCAGGCAGGCCTGCAGTCCAATGAAGGCAATCCTTTAATGGAGATTCCCTCTTCCCACATGTGCCAAGTTGACAACTGAAGATTACCATGGCAGCCCCCGTGACCTGAATCCCCCAGGCCCCACCTCTTGATGTTTCCACTACATCGTAATAGCACAAACCTTGGAACTGAGAGCATTTAGCCAGTGGGCCCCTGGGAGGCATTCCAGTCTAAACTTAGCATTTTCCAGGCCAGGGAGAGATTTGCTTTTTGTACTGAGATCACTAGCATGTGACTGTTTCCTTGTGAACACACAAATAAGAAATGAAATGTCTTATGTGCTTCTCCACTAACAAAACACATACTTTTCAAGATAATTTCATTAAATGAGATTTAAAATATATACATCTCACTGTAGTAAATAATATCCCAGTTTACTATCACCTATTTGCAAACTAAAATTCCCGAGCCATCATTGCAGCAGTGAGGCCCCTAGTCTTACTAACACTGTCTCAAGAATTTCATTAAAATTTCCTCCATTTTTAAAAGTTTTGCTGCTTGTTCTCAGTGACCTTAGGATCAGACATACCAAGTACTTGACACACCAGGTATTAACTCTATAAGTTGTACTATCTTGCCATAAATTCTGGAAGCTGTCTTTGTGTATATCCTTCCTTAGGCCATGATAGGTGCGCTGTTTGGACTACAATAGTAACTCCCTTATCCAAAGTTTCACTCCCTATGATTTTATTTCCCTGCAGTAAACAGGGTCTAACAATGGCAAATGGAAACAAGACAATAAATTTTTGATTGTTTGTCTCAAGAATAGTGTGGGGAGAGCTAGTGAGATGACCCAACAGGTAAAGGTGCTTGCTTCCAGACTGTGTAAGCCTGGCCACCTAAGTTTAGTTCTGGTCACCTATGTAAAGATTCTGATCCCCATATGTGTGCTGGAGCACACACACACACACACACACACACACACACACACACACACACACTATACAAACACACAGTAATAAATGACAATGGAGCCAGGCATGGTGTTGCATGCCTTTAATCCCATCACTTGGGAGGTAGAAGCAAGTGAATCTCTGTGAATTCAAGGCCAATCTGGTCTACATAGGGAGTTCCAGGATAGATAAGGCTATATAAATAAATAAATAAATAAATAAATAAATAAATAAATAAATAAATAAATAAATAAATAAATAAATAAATAAATAATAAATAAATAATAGTAGCTGATGAACTGCTGTGTCTTCTGTCTTGGGATGTAACTCATCCTTTTGTTCAGTGTGTCCACACTGCAGACACTACCAACCTTCTTTCAGTAGTCACCTCCATTATCAGACCAAGTGTTGTAGTACTGAAATACTTGTGTTCAAGTAACATTTTTATTGTAACAAGGCACATATTTTTAGTATGGTATGTTCTGGTTATTCTAATATTCATCAGTAATGTGTCAATTTTATAAGTTAAACCTCATAGATACCTAAGTATAGACAAAAATTTATCTGCAATTTCAGACACCCCCTAGGTGTGTCGTAATGTATGGGATGAACTTAAGGAAAGGCCACTATGTGGACTGTCAGATTCGTTCCGGCCACTGTGCTAATCCCTGAGAAAGTGAATGCAAGAAAAGATGTAATTCAGAACTTCCACCCTGCCTCGGTCTTTAAAACGCCATGCACCCGACAAGAAATAATAATTATAGTTACATCATTATAGTCCCTTCATTCCTCCGAACTCATATCCTTGTGCCTCTTTGCTTGAGAGCTAAAGTTCCAGAGCCTCCCAGAGACCTCACACACCTGAGAGCCTCTTCTAAGTCCCACCTTCCGCTTCAACTCAGACCCCGCCCTTGTCGCCCTTGCGCCCTCATTGGTCGACCAGGCTACACCCCTGGGCCCGCCCCGCGGGGCGGGGTCTCCCGGAGGCTGCGCACTAGGCCTTCAGGGTTCTCCATCTGCAGTTTGCAGGCTGGAATTGGCTCTTCCGCTGACAGCAGCTTCACGTTCGTTTTCGCCCTCCGCTGCAGTATGGGGCCGGCGCCGCGCACCCTGGAACTGTTCTACGACGTTCTGTCGCCCTACTCCTGGCTGGGCTTTGAGGTGACGCGGGGAAGCCGCCAGGGCTGTGGCCTGCGGGGAGAGTGCAGAGCGGGGCACTGGGCGCCAGGTTGCAGAAATTCCTGGCGGTGCCCTCAAGGTTAGGACAAGTACAGACTGTTCCTGGGCCGAAGTTCACTTTGTGCCTTTAAACGGACTGTGGCTCTAAGTAGGGTCCTGATTTCCTAAGGTCAAACATTCTCTTCCTACGGGCCCTAGGAAGAACAGTGGCAACTCCAAAGAAACAAGCCAAGTTCAGAGGGGGGAATTAGGGGCGCTAGGATGCTCTACAGTGGCGATTCTCAACCTTCCTCATGCTGCGACCCTTTAATACAGTTCCTCATGAAATTTTTTTCATTGCTACTTCATAACTGTGATTTTGCTACTGTTGTGAATCATAATGCAAATATCTGATATGCAGTGTATCTGATGTGCAACCCCTGGGAAAGGGTCGTTTGACAACCTCCCCACCAAGGGTCACTACCCACAGGTTGAGAACTCCTGCTCTATAGCGTGGAAACCACACACTAGAATAAGAATTGTGGTATCTGTTTCAAAGAGCTGAGAGTTTTTTTCCTTTTAAAGCAAGCAGCTCAGTGTGGACTACAGGAGACAGTCCTGTAGGCCACTTGAGCCATCTGTCCTCTCCAAAGGCCACACAAGCTCCCTTTCTTCTTATCTCTGCACCTGCAGGTCCTATGTAGGTACCAACACCTCTGGAACATCAACCTGAAGTTGCGCCCAGCTTTCATCGCTGGGATCATGAAGGACAGTGGTAAGCAGGGAGACGTCCTCCCAACTGGGCAAGGAGGGCTGTTTTCTGTGGCCCGAGGGCCCTGTCCTACACTGAGTATGCAGACCTCAGCCCTCCTAAGCTAGTAGTTAGCCCTCTACGGGAGGGGTTCCCCAAGCCTGAGACCCTCATGTCCTGTCTCACAGTTGTCTGACTCTCCACTGCCAGGAAACAAACCACCAGCTATGGTTCCCCGAAAAGGCCAGTACATGAACAAAGAGATTCCCCTCCTGAGGCAACACTTCCAGGTTCCCGTCAACATACCCAAGGATTTCTTCAATGTGATTCTTAAGAAAGGTACGGAGGGGTTTGGAGCTCAGCAGTTAAGAGCACTGGCTGCTCTTCCAGAGGACCCAGTTTGGTTTCCAGCACTCACACAGTGGCTCACAACTCTCTTTAACTCCAGTACCAGAAGAAATAGAAATAAAATAAATAAGTAAGTAAATAATAGAGGTCAGAAGAGGTTGGTGAATCTAGTGGAGAACAGAACAGTTGGGACTTTCTTAGGACATCAGTAAGTAAATTGTGTGGGGGACCCAGAATCAGCTACCCAAAAGTGGGGGATGGGCAGAAACAAGGGCTGAGCATAGTGAGTCCATAATGAGAGACTGGGATTAAAGACTGCAGGTGATTGAGCCTGGGGGAGGAGGTGCAAGGGGGTTGGTGTCAGAAGTAAGGATGAGCTGGTCCTCTATCAGGACACAAGGAATAGGAATCTTAGCTTTATGTGCCTCTGCCCCACAGGGAGTTTAAATGCCATGCGCTTCCTCACCTCTGTGAGCATGGAGCAACCAGAGATGCTGGAGAAGGTGTCCAGAGAGCTATGGATGCGTGTTTGGTCTCGAGTAAGGCTGGACTCTGAATCCTGGAGGGAAGGGACGGGCAGCTAGGTGACATTCTGACCCTTCTTCCCAGGGCAATTTCCAGAGATAGAATCCTCCTGTCATACCCCTCTCTCTGCTAGCTCCTTCCTGCTAAGTGTTCTCTTCTCCTTAGGATGAAGACATCACGGAGTCCCAGAGCATCCTAGCTGTGAGTGGCTGAACTGGACCCCACCCCCTACTAAGGTTACAGGAAATCTGAGAACATAAAAGACTCTTAATGACTTAGAAAGAAATGTCTGTGTCTGGGGGGACAAATGACTATCAAGTTGGATGGAATTGAGAAGGTTCTTTAAAGAATGTTCCATGGGCTAGGGTTGTAACTCAGTTGGAGAGTGCATACTTAATCTGCTTGAGGCCTGAGTTCAATCCCTGGCCTCCAGAAACTTCCAACACGAACTTCTCTAATATATTCCTATTACCAGGCAGGAGACTTTCTGCAGACAAAAAGATAACTGACAAGTGAGAATTAAACAGATGCTCAGTGAGAAATAAATGGAAGTGCATGCCAGACAGGGATGGGCCTTTAAAAGTCACATGTTCTTTGGGATGAAGTCAAGAAACTCAAAATGATCTTTCCCTCCTGTATATGGATGATAGTTGACACATAATCTCTTAATATATGAGAATCAAATCACTCCTAAGCTAGATATGCAAAGAATGGCTAGTTTATCCTCTAGTGTCTATATCTAGTTCCTAAAAACATTTGTGTGTATGCATAATTTTAGCCTGCTTTTACTTAATATTTAACAAATCTTTCTAATAACCCACTTCTCTCAGTGGCTTATCCATCCCCCTGTTGTTCAACAGCTCTCTCATTTAACTGTCAGAGACAGCGGCTTATAGGTCAAGTTGTAGCTTCTCAACCTGGGCTGTACACTGACATCACCAGGAGTGCTAGTGTCACCCCCAGAAAGGCTGATGTCATCATCTAGGGAACGGTCTTCACACTGGGGCTTTAAAAGCTCCCCAGGAGATTCCAGGTAGACAGCCACTAATTCTAAACTTTAAGAAGCATCCTAATCAGAAGCCCTCTCACTGTCGGGAAGCCACGCTGGTAGCTGTACCAATGACGTCATTCCAAGCATCTTCAGGAAGTTCTACAGGACTCAGAACCCAGCCTGAGACTATTAGGAATTCTAAGACACAGGGAAGAAGGCACTTTGGACTTGAATTCCGGTGGTGCGGCATTTAATCTGCTACTGACAAACTCTGTGCCTCTAAGCAAGTAATAAATGGCCATTGACTGCTGTGCCTTCATCGTGAAATGGAGAAGTGGGGCTAGCTAGTTTCTGTGATGCCCTCCAGTGCTGTTTCTGTGACTATGACATCTTTTTGCCCTCTGCCTTTCCCACTTATCTCAAGACACTGGGAAAAGTAGACAATTTGTCTTGACTAGGATAGGTAACCTGTTGCTTGCAAAGGTCTTCCCAAGAAAGCTTGAGGGCAGAGAAGGACAAGAATAGCCTTTTCTCCTGCTCCCACAAATGCAGACACAGCTGCATGTTCTTCTTGTCTCCCCAGGCTGCAGAGAAGGCAGGAATGTCCACAGAGCAAGCACAAAGCCTTCTGGGGAAAATTGGCACAGCACAGGTGAAGAGCAAGCTCCAGGAGACCACTGAGGCAGCCTGCAAATACGGGGTGAGCAACTCCATGTGTATCCCCATTCCCAGCCTGCGGGTAGAGAAGGAATATCGCCATGGGTGCTCATGTTCCTTTTCAACTGCCTTCTCCCCATTGTGAGTCCTCCCCAGCTCTCCTCCCCAGCTCTCCCGAAGCACTTCACCTGCTTCCTTCCTCCCCCTAAGCCTAGTCAAGGAAGGCAAGGAGGCAGATGATGGTTTCTAAAACTGTGAAGCTATGTGGCACAGAGGTAGAGCAGAGAAGATGCCTCTCAGCCAACGTTTTGTCTGCTTGTTCTGTGTCACCCGAGCACACTCTGCCTCAGCCTGATGAGCTCCTGCTCTATCACCTTCCTTCCCACTCTGTTTTCTCTAGGCCTTTGGGCTGCCCACCACTGTTGCCCACGTGGACGGTAAAACCTACATGTTATTTGGCTCCGATCGCATGGAACTGCTAGCTTACCTCCTGGGTAAGTTCAGGTTTCCATTCTCTTGAGCTTTTGACCCCAGTTCAATATCCATTATATCAGATGACCAGAACAACAACAACAGACGTTCCTGGTATTTCCAACAAGGAAGCCTTATATAGGTGGTGCTGATCCATGGTGAATGGGGGTGGGAAGTCTTCCCCATAGGGGAGAAGGAAGCCTTCTACGCCTTGAAGGCAAGCAGGTCCTGGAAGGTCCTATGGCTCTTTGAGACCGTCTCCTGCTGCTAACATGTCTGAGAACCATGTATAGACATCTGTGGTTTTCTTTATCTAGGAGAGAAGTGGATGGGCCCTGTGCCCCCAACCCAGTGTTCCAGACTTTAAGATTGCCTTAGGAAGTAAACTTCGATTTCTCAATTTGACCAAGCTGACTTCCGCCGTGGCCCTATGGACTGAAGCAGCAGTCCGCCTTAGCGGTGGCTGCCTTTACTTCTGTGCCTCACAAGTGCCTTTTGGAAAGCCTTAAGTTCTGCATTCCCAGACAATAAACCTGACACCACTAGACAAAACATTTCTGGGTCTGAGTCTGCCTGGCTGGTGTTGGTGTACCACTGTCTGCAGGTCAGGCAAGAAGAGCTCTTTCTGGATTCTCAGCCTTGACTCCCCAGTGCACTGTGGGGCCACAGTGGGGCAGGGGCAGGAGATAGTCTCCCTTTCCTCCTACTAAAAAAACCTACTTGTCTATCAAAGACAGAAAACTAAGTTGTGGAGGGGAGAGCTAGAGAGATGGCTCAGTGGTTAAGAGCACTGACTGCTCTTCCAGAGATCCTGAGTTTAATTCCCAGCAACCACATGATGGTTCACAGCCATCTAGAGTGAGATCTGATACTCTCTTCTGTAATACATGCATACATGCAGACAGAGCACTCGTACATTTAAATAAATAAACAAACAAATAAAAAGAAACTAAGCCCAGTAGACTTAGCAACAAATCATCTTGGCATTAACTGTCTCTGACCAGCCAGGGACATTGGGAGAAGAGTATGGCCAGGGACCCTGTAACAGTGGGCACTGGAGGGAAGCAGCAAACAGTCCAGCTGTGCTCAGCTCTTTAATGTGAGTCCAGCTACACAGGCCAGCAGAACCCGAACAAGGCAGTCTCTGGCCTTATGCTGTGACCTGGAGATGTTGTTTAATCTTTCTGTTTTCTTCTTCTTCTTCTTCTTCTTCTTCTTCTTCTTCTTCTTCTTCTTCTTCTTCTTCTTCTTCTTCTTCTTCTTCTTCTTCTTCTTCTTCTTCTTCT